CAAAAATTCTGTTCAGACGATTAGTTGACTACAGGTTGCAGAATATCCCCAACTCAAAAGGCTAATGATCGCTAGCTGCATCCACTCACGTGGCCACATGAAACAGTCCACCTAGAGTCCAATTCACTTTACTTCCCCAACAACATTTTCCTGCAGAAGGTTTGACTCCTCATATCGCCCAGTCTCTCTCTTAATTCTGGGCTCTTTCCTCTCCCATCCGACGCACAGCAAACGTGATGCACACTGGAATGCATAATTTAGGAGGAAGTCGACAGGAAGTCAACAACATTCTCACTTTTGGTACTCCCATGAGCCACCTCATCTTTTATTGCTCCTATTCGTTCTCATTGCATCTGTCTGACTGGACTTCGACTCCTCATTCTTCCTTACTCTCAATAAACTGGAATTTCAAGCATTGTGATCGCGTCTTCACCTTGGCGCGTAACGCCTTGACGGCGGGACTCCTGCGCCAAGAGGAAGTTCAGCATCCATTGGACCACACCACCTACTTAATGCTTTCGAAGGAGATACAGATAGAGGAGATCATTCAAAATGTTAATACATTCAAAAGGATTTGGATAATTGCTGGAAAATTTCATAAAATCCTCAACTTCAAGATGATTTATAAAAACACGCGAAATTGCATTAATAGGCGGTTCTTTTTAATCGTCATGGTCACCCGCCCGCTGACAAATTCCGTTAATAACGACATTTTATTCTTTTTTGTTGCTCTAAATCACTTTATAGCGCCTTTTTGCCTCATACATTCCTGTTAATACTTTAATGCTGTGTCTGAACAAAACAAAGTGGCAGATTGGCGTGTTCAAAGTGGTGAGCACTCAAGCAAATAGTAAGTGCCTCAATGCCTGTCCTCTTAGCCACCACAAGCTCACAATACTGAGTTTTTTGGAGACAAAAAGAAAAAAATGCGCTAGATCAGACTGCGTACTGCTCATAGGCAAAAGGGTGCACTCCACTGGTCCCACGGGCACGGCCTAAAGGTCAGGCGGTCTGGGTGGGGTGTAGTGGCTAGCCCTTGAGTGGCTTTAACCCTTACTCTACTAAATTGACGGCAGAGTGTTGTTTACCTCCTTACTGAATGTGCTTATGCATAATTCAAAATAATTAAATGTCTTCTAGGCGATCACTTTTCCAGACACTCGTTTGGGCATATGCAATGAGGCGGACCCAGCTGTGGTCAGCGTGCTACCATCGCAGTTAGCTTATTTTAAAATATACAAATTAACAGAAAAGTGCAATTTCCAGAGTTTTTAAGCTTAGCTTCCCCTATTTTAGGACACACAAGTACTGTCAACCTGGTTGTCAATCTAGCCTGTTCCCAAGCTCAAGTATGCGTCCAAGCAGACAATATCCACTTCCTTCCAGTCCACGTGGGACTTTAAAAAATTCAGCAGCTTTACGACTGTTCTGATGTCTTTGCTAAATACTTTCCTCTAATATGTGGTGCTAACGCCTACGGATGCATACGTAAATGTTATTGTTAAGTTTGTTACACATCTTTTTAACTCCGTCACTATTCGCCAATCGGCTTATACTGCCCTCCTTTATGAACCCCCAAAGGGAGGCCGCGTGGAGAATTGAACAGAAATATGGACTGTGCAGTTCACCAATTTCATTGTGTTTCAAAACAATGCTTTCGTGAGATGATTATCCATTTAGCCAAAATGTCATGTTTTCTCCTGCTGCTGCTGCTGCTGCTGCTGCTACATTTGCTAGAATTCGTCATTTCTGAGGGCACAGGCGTCTGCCACTTGACTAATTGCACCAATTAGGTAATTATGCAGTTTATTAGATCTCCTGAAAGGATGTTGCACACTCCACTGACAGTAATAAGAGAGAACAAAAGTTTAGCGCTTATCTCAACCCTTACGAGCAATTTGTGGCAAATCGACATTTTTGCTTCGAGTTTTATCACATGCAGGTGTCCACTGTGAGGTACAGACTGCCTCTTCAGCTGAGAACACTACAAACGAGTCTGTTGCCAACACATTTTTAGACTGCAATCAGCGATACTAAATTATTCCCACGCATTGATATGGCACAAACCCTTTGAAGTGGGAAACAGCAATGACTGGAAGTCTCAAAGACTATGTTAAAGTAGAATAACTTTGACACTACTTTGTGCGTCATTATTGGTGAGAGACCCAATTTAGTAGTAATGGTAGTAGTCTTATTCTGTTTCATAATGAAGGATGTGTCACTTTGCTCAGGGCCAAGCCATTTTTGTGTCCTGCTCCTTCCTCTCTCCGCGTTGGCTTCTAGACTCAGGTAGTGGTAATTTCTTTTGCCCTCGTCGCTTTTGTGTTCATATTTTTCCTCTTTTCCGGCACGAGTGTGTCATTTTTTCGGCATTATCGAAGCCCCATCTTGCAGCACGGGCGAAATTGTGCATTTGTCCGATAGCATTAGCATAAAGTTGTGTAGAGACCGGTTTTATTAGCATCTCGAATGCGTTTTATGACGAGGCATTCAATGCATAGCTCACGCAATTCCAGTCATGATTATGCGTAAAAATTTATAATAAAGGTATGACCATCTAGAATAAGTAACTGCCTTTCAGTAAAGCGTGTTTTCATTGGTTAGTGTCATCGTGTCTCCTCCATCCCTTGAGGCTGTCCGGTTAGTGGCAGGGCCACGTCTACTCGCGACACTGCGGCATGCTGGCGCTGACCGTCAACGCATCCGCTATTCCATTATTATTAACAATGCCACCGTATGTCTTTGAGGTCAAGTTAAGCTGGGATGGATTCCGCCTGCATGCTCAAGTTCCTGTAGATTCTGGCTCTTAAAAACACCAATACTGATAATCGTGAGTCCCTGATTCCCACCCAAGATTTGCTACTGAGGTCTTTCGACCACCGGTGTCATGATATCGAAGGCTCAATTTAAACGCGATATTCGGGAGTGTTATCGCGAAACGAATACGATACTTCAGAAACAATTTTATACTCCATCCTTTAAGACTTCTGTTCTGGCAGGCAATGCGTCCGTATAAGCAAAATGGCTCTTTTGCCAGAAGCGTTGAAGAGCTCTGTTGTAGCATAATTACACAAGTATTTTTGTTGTGTGATTATGCACTTTCAGCAGGGAAGTGCTTAAATATGGGCTTCGAAACGATGAGCGCCATTACATATTTGGTCTCGGTATTCCGTGCAATGGGACGTCCGAGAGCAGGCGATTACCATACCATTTTCATACAGTCACATCATAATTACTGAATGAGGGCAACGCTTGTAGGAGGATCTTGTAACGTTTCCACCTTGTGATGCTCAATCCATTTGAAATCCTTTACTCCCAGTGCAGCACAAGAAAACACTCACAGGCAGAACGCGGAAGTTGACGCCACCCCCACGTGGACGGCATTTACCGCAAAGAACTTGAGTCTCAACTCCCCATTGCCGATGCTACCATTTTCAGTGGAGTTGTGGCTTTGTACAATGCAGAGGCACTTTTTGCCCAAAAGATTTTTGAAAAGGGGAAGGACGTATTGAGGGTAATAGAGTTTCACCATTTGGATGGATAATAAATTAGTAAAGTGAGTACCCTCATGACCTCATCGCCTGCACATGGTCACGCTAAATGTGTAATAAGGAAGTTTGAACATTCTACTTCCATGCCACAGTCCTACTTGCACCACAAATTGTCAGATCGATCATTCGTTTCCGTCTCACAACTGAGGCCTTCTTACTACTTATTTCCAGTTAATATTAGTTGGAAAAGATTGATGAAATCGAAATTTTAATTCGTAAACTGACAAACGATTGTGTTGCAAAGTACAAAGATTCACCAACTACGTGACCGACGACAACCCACACGCCCGGGTATAGCCGAGGTGGACGCGCGAAATGGAGACCTTATTGACGCAAACTCGTGATTTATGTACATTTCGCAACGAGGGAAAGACTGAAAGTGTTTACAAAAATATTAATTTCCGACGAAGATGGGGGTGAGCATCACATGGGGAGGGTGACACATCGTGCACATCTGTTGACCTCGCCGGTCCCTCTACGCACCATCCGAGTTATCTGGCGGAGGAGAAAGGAGACACAGTACAGAAAACATATAAGAAGTCCAGTGCGCAAAACACAGGAGTCGCCACTTGCTTGATACCACTCTGTTATTGAAACAGTTAGCTAGGAATGGGAAAATCGCAAAAATACCTCTCGCCATTTTAAAATAATTAATACTACTTTAGGTCGTAGTGACCTGTTGCTTTTCGCTGTTAAATTTCCTCGTAAGAACAAAGTACTAATGTGGGACAATGGTAAGCAGTGCAGTTGAAATACCTTTCCATAGCACCAGTGGCATTTAAAATGGAGGTGGGTTGAACTTTGGTAGGCAAGAAAATTTGGCCGTGTGGAAGACTGTTTATACAGACTGGAGGTGGGCAGTGTTAATCGTGGTGGTGTGAACGAGACCTCCCAAATATCACCAACAACGTCACCTAATAGTTTTTACATGAAATCCTTTTTCGAAGGTCAAAGCTGCACATACTTTTGAAGTGTGAAGCGTCATCGCTTCTTCCCCTCCCTAGAATGTTCTTCCAATGTGATTGTGCTTACTTAGCATTCACTGCACATAATGTGGACAGTTCAGTTCATCCACATAAAAATGGGTAACGCTAAAAAACGCTTTCTTTTAACGCGGACATGTCGCCCCTCCCAACTGACACGCCACGTGCACTAAAAGATAATGATGATTTTCATAGGCTCTTTTCTGCCACTTGGAAAGTTAAGTAAAAACTTCTCATCCACTTTTTATGGGCACTGGCAATTGACGTTGCTGCTTGACACTCTACTGCTGACGGGCTGCGGGCAGTGATAATTTAGGAATGCCTTTAAAGGACATCCAAGCCCCTCTGCAATCCATCCCTAAATGTGTCCACTCCCTATTCACTTTCCTGTTGGCTTCAATTGTATAAGATTTTGTGCCAGGCAGGGTTGGGCGGTGTACCACTTAATCCCCAAAATGGATGATGTTTAAATGATAAGGGGATGCGGATTAGAGAGAGAGAGAGAGAGAGGGAGAGAGAGAGAGAGCACAAGTTGCCGGCGACCATACCTGGTTGGAATTGTGTAGTTGAGCGTACCTCCGTTAAGCAATTCCGAGGCTGCTTCTCTGACGGAGTCGTGTGCTGCTATGTCACCGGTCGCATTTGTCTCTGCGTGACTGTTAAGCATCAACTCTGAGTGTTTGGCTGCGAACTCCTCTATTTTAGTCCACAAATTGTTTCTGTCTTTGATACGTTTGATCTCCCTACAAAATAGCGTTGATTGTATCAAATGGATTGCGCTGTGCTGTCTGTACACAATGCACAGGGCGACGTTTCATCCAACCACCACGATTGGGAAATGGACAGTTTTACTTGGGGGCACTTCAAAAATCCTATTGAATCTTTTAACCCCAACTGATTCACTGAAATCTGCATAAGCTCAATTTATTGCCTTACATGCATTGCATGTTGGTGCTTCTGTTGTTGCTCCTTCTGTTTTATGTTCTTCCTTGAATAAATAAATTATGCAAAATAGAAGTTCCGTCAAAAGTCGGCTCTCTTAGAGGAACTGTGCAGATCAAGCTGCAAGTAATGCTTTGAAGCCTTACTGTGCGTTTATGGACGAGGAGTGAAATCAAAGACACCTTCAGTTTACGTACTGACTTCAAACGGTGTCGCCGATACGCTAATTTGTGTGCAATTGGTCCTAGTCATCAAACCACTTCTGAGGTGCTCCAACTTCCTCCCTCTTCAGGGCACCAACAGGACTGAAGTGAGCTGGAAAACTTGTTCCAGTAAAAATATCACAAAGTAAACTCAACAGTTCTCCACATTCAATACAATTACACGGAGTAGCGACACCGCCTTGTGAAATCAGAGTGTGTGAGAACAAAGGCCGAAATCGGCATGTTTTTGTGCATAAATCTCCGTGTTAACTCGACTGAACATTTTCAGGATCAAATTTGACCTCGAGTAACCACTGGTACAGATCAAAAAGTGTGCATTTTCATACATCTCGTTTCACCGCAGCCACAAAACTTAGAGAATTGGCAAAAATTGTTACGCCAAATCTCTCGCCCGTGAGTGCACAAAATGTCAGCCTGCTCAAATAAGGGTGGCCAGTAGAACAGGTCTGCAGAAAGAGCCTGGATGGCTCTGCCTACATGAACACACGATTCAACGTACATTTCCTTGTCGTGAGCCAGTTCGTGCATGCAACGCTCAAAGAGGTCGGGATCAACTCCTTTCCACTTCTCCAGAATGGTTTCGGCATGGTCTTGTATTCCGCTACAACAACAAAATAAAACGCGGATTTTAGATTAACATATTAAAACCATGCCACAGGTATGATTGAATTGTTCAACAATTGTTTTCCTTTTTAAAGTTGTATTAGCGTGTTCTAGATTAGACGTTGCCGTGGCACAAATTCCTCTCTATATCTGGCAAGACCATAAAGATTCTTTTGTCATTCAGCACGCATTCCACAAGTAACAAGTCTTTTCAACTATGTATAGCTGTGCACGAACTATTTTTGGCGTCTGCATTGGCAATTGGAAGACTTTGTCAGGGGATTAGGATGTAGACGATTTTTAACAACACAGACCACAGGTGCAACACGGTTTTGCACATGTGCACCAGCAGCTTTTCCATTTTTCATCATGCACATGACTTCACACCGACTGCTCCTCAACGCCATTGCAGTCACTTCTTGACTTGAATGGGAGTGACTATTGACAATTAAAGTACCCTTCCGATTTCACAAGAAACAGACGTGCTTGTGGTACCTCCCATTAAATCTAGCAACAGGTGGACAAGAAAAACAAAGTGGAAAACGAGGTGCTATTACATGTGCCAGTGTTGTTGAGCCGCCTTTAAGGCGGGCAGAACGATGGGCAGAAGTTGATCGGCGTGATGGGAGGCCATACTGAAGATGGTGGCGTTGTAGGTGACGATTAGGGAGCGCTCAGCCAGCTAGAAAGAGAGGACACACCTTCTTGACCCTCTGTTACCTTCGTCAACCATTCTTCTTGATTTGAGAAATTTTTTGCACTTTTATACAGTTATGTACTATTGTAATTTATAACTATAACCTGGGCGCCCTTTACAATTTCATGCAAGCATAATTCAAAACTCAAATAGCTTGGCTTAAATCGTGACAGCAAGTAGTTATCTGTTCTTTTGCCCTATGACTGCGTTTAAGGCGCAGAGAAGTAAAACTGGGGAAACTCAAACGCCTGCACAACAAGCAGTACATCCGCCTTTTGCCTCTACTTCCTTTTTCTTTACGACATTTACTAGTTTGATAAAGAGGACACAATTTCGGAGACTACTACCTCAAAAGGCTTCCTTGTAAGATGGGATGGAGGCGCTCAGCGATCAACTCGGTTTCACCACCAACCTGAGGCACTCTTCTCTCCTCACTGTGAATCAGTACTGACAAGTATAGCGCAAACAGTTCGCCTACCTGAAAATGGCAATTGGTGTAACCAGCTGCTAGTCTCTTGAAGACAGGCACCATCACTGACTCAAAGTCCGGCTCAGTGACCATTTCCAGGAATTCCTCAAGCTCATTCAAAAACATAACTGCCTTTGCACTCTGAGTCCTTGGCCAGTATTTCAAGATTCCTCCATTGACAATCTAATTAAGTGAAAAAGTTTAAACAAATGATGTGCATTTTGTGCCCAAGAAGTGCAACGGTGTGCCAACAAATGCTTGCATCAGCACCCAGTGGAAGGAGGGTTTTGGGAATAATCTCATGACTGCTGCTATTTGCTCTACAAACCTCACACGAGGATGGATGACTGGATAATTGATGTCCCCCTCCTCTGTCAGTTGGAATCGCAAAAATTCGCATTCATCAGACACTTCGCGCAAATGCTTCGATAGCCTGTCATCTATTTTAATTAATCCAATCAAGTAAAATCGCTACGGAGCAGAAATTTGCCACTTGGGATGGAGTGGAGGTGGAAGGAGTACTCACGTATCGAAGGAGGGATGTGTCCTTTTCCAAAAACTGGGCAATACAATAGGCGAGCTGAGGGTGATAGGCGGAGATGGACTGGGGCTTGTGAAGCGGCAGGATCACTCTTTGCAGATTTTCTATGTGCTCTTCTTTTAGTGGTGTTTGATATCCACTCACAATGCTGAAAAACAGTTGCTCAAATTAGTGTGACTCGTCAACGAGATGCCTCAACGACAACTCACGTTTACAACACACGTGGGATGTTTCCTTGATGCATCGTTTCTAAATGCACTGTTTTACCTTTCGACAGTAAGAGAGAATGCCAATTAAGTTAACTGAAGCATTCAGAGTTGAAAGAGCAAATAATTAATGGGTTCTTTGTTTTTTCCAGATGCATGTGCGCTTCTGTGATATATTAGCGTCCATTTTTTGCCAATAAGGTCAGGCAGGATTGGCGGAGAAATCGCTGCTTTTTCGTTTTACGAATTTTATTGAGATCTCTCACTCCTGATAGGGCTGAAAACTGAACCCACTCAAGATGGAAATTATGTACATGTGTGCGGATGAATGCTCTTCTCACCTTCCAAATATCTCCAGTAGCTCTCCAATACCATTGAATTGCTCGGCCTCATAAACAAAGCTAAAAGAAGAGAAGATGGCGACATCACAAATCACAAGTCAATTCATAAGTAAGATTGTGAGGTCCACTTTCTTTTATTTCTCCCTCATTTTCTTTTATAAGTCCTCCTTTCTTATTCATGTGCCGTCTTCATAAATGTTGGGATTATACTACTGAACCATTCATTTAGTTGTGGCTGTTGAATCGCCTTCTACTGAACCATTCATTCTTTCACATCATTTTTACTAATTGTCTCCCAGAAGTCGGCAAGCGCCTTTAATCCAACGGTTTGCGAAATTCGAAAAGAAGGAGTAGCTTTTACTTCCCTCCTTCGAATGACCAACTTATTGCGAGTCGACAGGTTTTTGCTCGCTCATCTCAACACTTCTTAGTGTGCTTTTAGGAGTCAATTTCCTCGCAAAAGTCATTTTAATCACGGGCTGGTTAACTGGCCTCCTTCCTGTGTGTGTAGGCGTTGGAGTGGACTTCTGGTGGCTCACTGGGAGGAGGAGGATGCCACTACACATCCGTTCTGGCCATGTGGGTCTCATATGTCAAATAATAGAGATTAATGAATTTGTCCATGGCAGTGACGTTTAGCGATTTAAGCATTATCACAACACTTTCTCGCATTTAAAACGGCAGTGACGAGATTCGAGATGCATTCAGTGAATGAGGCTCAAATTTTTATTCGTCTAATGCAATTTTGCTCCTCCCTGTGCATTGTTTCCTTTTAAGGCAATGACAACAACACCTAACACATCACACGACACGGATTCGGGCGCTGCATGGTGGTGTGGTGGTGCGGTTTACGGTTCATTCGAACGTGGGTGTGATGACAACTTTTTTTTCTGTATGCACTGTGCTTTGTGTTGATCACATCCGCCCTCACTGTTATGACAAATCCATTTCCACACTCGTGTAAAAGCTGCAACTTTCCCCAAAACTGCTACCCATGAGGGTGCACCCACCTCTGAAGTGTGACGACAATCTGCTCCCGAATGAAGCCACGAAGTTGTATTAGCCTTGCGTAGATTCTGTGCAGTATCATCTTTGCGCAGGCTCTCTCACGACGGTCCTCGGTGTCGAAGATGGCAAGGAGGTTGAGCACAAACGTCTTGTCTATGTACTTCTTCAGAAAGAGTGTTTTAATGTCCAGGAGAGAAAGGAAGCGCAGAAAAATTTCATACACCAACTGAAAGAAAATGGCAGTAGCATTTAGGTGCTCCATCTGCCGAGGTCATGCTTCAAAAGAAGTGCATAATTTTGCAAATAAAATAATTAATTTCCCTTTTAAGACTGAAAGATAATGTGTCAAGTGTTTAAGAAGCTTCACTTGTTTAACGAGTGTGGACTGATGGCGAGTTTGTATTGCTGTCCTGAAGTGAAGTTGAATGGAGGAAAACTTTTAGTTGTGTTTGAAGTGAGTCTTTTGAAGGAATTAAGGAAACTAAAGAGGTTTCATACATATAATTAAACTGCAGTGCTGCTCTTGCTATGTGCTTCGTTTTGTTACTTTTCCTGACGAAATGTTCAACGGAAAGTTGTTAAAGAAATGGGAAGAGGACTCAGCGGCTGTGGAGGTGGACATTACGAGCCAAACTACTCCGTTGCTGCAAACGAGCCAAGATGCCTTGGTCAGGCTACTTTCAAACAAGTCTGAGGGTAAATCAAAGGCTGCGACTCATAAATGGAGTTGAGAAATTGAGCAACGCACAAATCCTCCCCTAATTACCCGCCATCACATCTTTTTATACCCTTTTCTTATTTGAACTACGTGTCTCCTGAGGGCAAATCCGCAACCAATTTTGAACACTCAATTCCTGTTCGCACTAGGAATGCTGTAAACTACTTTTGTGCCATAAATATGGACAATTCTTGCGGATCTCCTACACTTACATTAACATTAAAGCCAAAATTTGTAATGCTTTCTCCTTCACCTCCATTTCTGGCTCACACTTGACTCGACTCACGATCCACCCGCTCGTGGCCGTCTCATCCTCTCGGTGAAGCGGTAGCATTTCAGTCGACACTATCTTCATCGGTCCCTCCGGCGAACCTTCACTGTCTTTAGAATTTATGCACCAACACACTCGACCATAACCAATTTACATACGAAATCTTCCCAATCCCTTAATATACGTCCTTTCAGTTCCCCTTACTTTCCAGTTGGCTAATGCCACAAACAATGAGGTTGACGAAACCTCAACTTGAAAATGTAACCGAACAATGTAGCATATTCTGAAGCCACATAAAGTAGTCTCTCTAAATCCCTTTGGTCATGACTATGAATGGAGAAAGTGGGCATTAAAAGCTCATCCCTTCAGTGTCCGTCATTGTTGTAAGGTAGGTGAAATAGAAAATCACCCGTTCCACTTTCCCAGAAGGCAGTGAAGGTTTATGTCACGGTTAAATGACTTTTTGCAATTCCCTGGCCCGAGTTTCTCGGATTTGTGCACACTACAGAAAATTTGCATGGGCCATTTGCGCACTGCGGCGACAACAGGTTGCCGTGCCAGTCGTCTGAACCGCCAGAGGCATTTCATTTGTTGAAGTCTTTTTTTGCCACCTTTAAAGTACGTAATGCGGAGATGGTAAATTTGATATTTTTTTGCTTTCTGTGATAATATGAATGGGAATTGTATGTATTAGACATACTCCATCAAATGGGGAGGGCATAAAGAACTGAAGAAGAAAGCAGTTTGTCAACAAGTGCTACTTGGTGTCTACTCCCATCAACAGTGTTCGTAATAAATTAGTGTAAGTTTTCGAATTCTTGCATCTACTCGAAAGCGAGAGGCATGCAAAGTGTAGTGCTAGTACACTTTCCAAGAATTTGGATTGTTAAAAAAATTAATCTGCCTGATCCGCCATTTTTAACCACAAGCATTTGAAAGTATGCGAAACGTACAACTGGTCTTTGCGCCTTTCCTCCGACACAAGTCGGTAGATTTTAATCGTGCAGGCCATCAAAGTTGGCTCTGTTGGATGACGTGTGTAATCATTTGACATAAATAAAAGCTCAAAGTCCATGCAAACGGTTTGACAACCCCATGGCAAGTTACAGTTTGTAATTTTCACTTTTTTACCAGGGCCAGTAAGATCCTCTCCTTCCTGCAATACTGCATGGCGGAGCATCACGGCTTGGTGAGGCAATTGTTCCCAAAGCGACTTCCTGCAATGCGCTGTGAGCCAAGTGACAAAAAGTAGTGCGTTCACAATTGCTGTACAGTTTGTAATTGTCCCAATGCATATGCGAATTTCGTATTGAAAGATGAGAGCCGTTAATTGCGAGCACATTTTGAAGTGGATAAAATCCACACTATTAATGGGCAGCCAGCAAATTAATTACCTTCGCCTATGCCCAAAACAGTCAACTGCCTGAAATATTTTACGAAAAAAAAACTCGTCAAAATTCCACTCCCGTTGTTTGCACCCGACTGAAACTATTTTGATACATTCTTCCCTTCAGGTCTCCTTCTGCGTAAAGACTGACCGTCCACCCAAATAAAAATGTAACCATTCAACCATCTACTCATAGCTTTATAGATTCGCCTTCTTATCATGTTTAAGGCAGACTTAATGAACCAAAATTGACTTTATAAAAAATGACGGCTATAGGACATGATCGGTGAATGAAACCGAATCATTATGGCTGTCGCCTGCCCTTAGAGTCAAATTAAATCTGTTCATTCGTCCAGACTAATGGCCAGTTAATGTTTACAAAAAAAGCTCATTAAACAGTGGAGCATTGTAAACATTTACACGATTCTATGATTGCATGCACTTTTTCTGCCTACTTTTCTCAGAAGTAGGAAGTGCTAGAACATAGCCTTAAGTGATTGACAGGGGTCAGTTACGTCACCTAGTCACGAATAATCAAGTGTTAGGAATTTGCAGACCTATGAGAGGGCAAATTGACCAGATGCCTAACTTTGTAGACAGAATAACAAAACAAAAAGAAAGAGCAACCACGTGAATTGTGAGACAGAGAGAGAGGATGAGATGCTCTTCCTACCTCAAGATGAGGCCAAGCTGGGTCCTGAGTCTCTTCTTCGTCAGCGCTGTCAGGGGGCTCGTAATGATCCCCTGAGGATGCTTGTAAAGCCGAAGACGGTGGTGGCAGAGGCCGGAAGATGTTGGCAGCAAACATATGCACGCAGGCCGCATACGCCGTCTCCTCCGAGGTGATGCTCGTGACAGGTGACTCAAAGAGGTAGGCACTCACCTCTCTCAGCGCTGCCGTCTTTGCTTTTCTCCCCTCCAATGTGATTGGGTCATAAACGGTAAAGTCAAACGTTGTACAGCAAAGCTCCAGCTTTTCGATTAATAACTGTAAATGACCTTCCTCTGGGGTGTCTAAAGAAAGGCATTTGTGAATAGGGCTTAGTGACTTGTAAATCCCCTAACACCGCTAACATGAAACCCTCAGGTACACTCATCCACAACTTTCATTACTGCAGGCACCTTTTAGCATTAGTGGCATATTGGTTGGGCAAATGAGCATTCGACGCAAAGTAAGATCGTTAAAGCAGTTCAAAATTGTGAGAGGAAAAACTGTATCATAGGACCTGCTCCCAGTAAAGACCCATGAACACAGCCAACAGCCGGTTCAAAGCCTTCGTTTGGTGTCCTTTGATACCAAAACTCGGTGCTTTTCAATTTGCTGCAAAGCAATCAAAGATCGCCATAGGGATTGAATTTTTGAACATTTTTGAGGGAGATTTCAGACGGAAAAGGCGCCACTGTTTGCACAACTTCCACCCACGCCAACATGACGTCAGGGCCAGCAAATTAGTAAGGCAATGCACACCCACTTGACGCACAGCACGGATCCCCATTTCGGGAACCATTGCCATTGTTAGTAAAACCCTCAAGTCTACCTCACCTCTGTGTTGAAAAGCACGTTAATCGTTGGCCAAAGAATGTGTGCGTTTTGCTATTCCCCCTGTAATTAAAGCGCATACCTGTGAGCGCTTGATTTTAGCCCTAAATTTACTGCATGAGCTGGTGTAAGTCAGAACTCTTCGGGGCAATCATCGTCGCAAGCCGTGATAATTTTGTTGATTTGGAGCTATGGAAGCATAGTGTTTTTGCCTGTGTTGAAAATTCATTGCATTTTGCACCAGCAAGACACTCTTTGTTGTATAAATGTTTGTTGTTAATTGCGTCAACTACTGATGTAAATGTCAGCCAAAACGAAATTCAAGTGTTTGCTGTTTCATTGAGAGAGGTGGTTGGAGTTTCCAAAGCTAAAGGCAGACTTTTTGAGCAGGAAGTCATGTCTAGAGATGGGGAAAATGGACTGTTTTGTAGTTTACCATAAAATGCATCAGGACCTGCTCTGGTAAGTGTCATGCGACTGGTTAGAAACAGGCAAAAAGGAAAAGCGAAATGGTTATGTGAAGTTTCGTACTATATGGAAAACAATTAAGCGTCTATTCTAGTAGCTCTCTCAACTAATCTTGATTTAGTTTCGTCGTTCATTCCGACTCTCTCGATAAACAACAGACCTTGTTTAATGGACTCACTGTCTTCTTACTTCTCCATAAAATCAAAACTGTAATACATTTTTCTTTGATAACATTCAACCGCCTCTTAACACATACCCCTCCACTCAGAATACGGATAATTTGACATTAAATGCTCAAGTTTTGTCATCGTAGACTCGAAATATCCAAATTACTCAAAATGTACTTCAAACTGTTCTTCGTTTGAACTCGAGCACCAGCAGAGCAATCAAAAGAAGCTCGTCACCTCTTGTCCCTGTGTGCCATTGCACAAACGCCAGTTGTGCGTCTTGTCGACCGAAATGCCTCACACCTATGCGGCACAACTCCAGTTTTATCCATTCTGACACGTCCATCCGCATTATTCGGTCCTAGCGTCAATTAATTAGATGATCCGGAATTCAATCACGTAAATAACGTTGCGATCAAAGCCGTCCCTGGTTTCCTTCACCACTCCAAAATACATTATAGGCGCATTACATAATAAATGACTGTGGCAGTTCATAGACAGGGTGTGACAACCAAGTAATTTGTTTACGAACCTAACATAAATTGTGAACCAGTGCTCATTTTCAGTTTCTGTATCAACGTACACCTCTGCCCTTGCCATATCGTTGGAGGGCAATAGATGACAGTTTCTACAGCTTCCACGGACTCAATTCTTAATAAAATTTCACACTGTAAAACGCAAGAAAGCCGTGAAATTGCACTGTTTTGGAGTAAGAAAGGCGCATCAACTGTCTACTGCCGCCAACCTTTACTTGTGCCATGAACAATAAGAATATTAGTGAACACAGGTTTCCGAGCAGATCCAAAACCTGCAAAAGAAGCAATTTCGACTGATTTAGGGCACTCCAATTGCCGTAGGCTGCAGACCTTTTATGTGGATTTTGACTGCTGCAGACGCACCATTGTTAATATAAACGTGAAAGTACGGATGTGTGGTGAGGGCTTCCACATAGGCCATTGCCCTTTCTCTCCAGCTACTGCACATACAGGTGGGAGTCAAACATGCATCCTCATCTGTCTTCTTGCGGGGAAATTCTTCCCCTTCTTTGGCATACGAGCAGTACTTTCAATAGCTGTGCATCAATACCTCTAATGCCCTCCAGCTGCATCACTTAACCTTTTGGTTGGGGAACCAGAAGTATTACTCCTTACATCACCATTTTAGCACATTTTTTAAAACTCATTACACTTTTACTTACAGTTACTGTTATTTTTATGTTTCAACTGGATATCGTCTATGCACCTTTGACCCAAAGTAATTCACAATGTGTCCGAGCTTCAACACACTTTTAACGAACCATTTTAAGAAGGAAATGACCTCCTTCGAATTTGTACTCCTGTGGTAGTCTCGTGCTTTCAAAAGCACGCACTTCCTCCTCAAATAAGCAAACTAGCCAATGAGGATACATCGCCTTCCGTCTGGTTTCTTTATCAGTCGCAGCTCAGTTTGGAGCAGTTGGCCAATTATCAGAACGCCATTTTACATGATTTGTGGCTCGGAGTACAAGCGGGGGAAAAGCAACTAAAATGGGATAGGCACAAGAGCATTGCCAAAGAGTCATCTCCAACCGCACAAGGGGGAACCTCTACTTAATGCCTCTTGACGTTGCATAGCAAAATTAGATGGTCTGGACACGCTTACTTACTATGTGGAAACAAAAAACTCGACTAACGATAAAATCCACACTAATAAGGTGGCTTCAAATGAAAAGTGTTCTCGGTAGCCTTTCTTGACAAGCGCCTGGACGACAGCACGGGATAAACATGGGAAGAAAGTACGCAGAATTGGGTTTATGAGTGGGGGTGCGCGCCCTTCTGCAAGTGTTTGCACTTGTATGCAGAAGGAGCTGCGGAAAATTCTTCTGTAGTCCAAGTTTTGAACGACCGCTGTCCAAAGTGATCGCGACGTGAGTTAATCAGAGTCAAGTGTGTTACTTTATTTTTACCAGTTTTAGAGCCCCAACTAATTCACTTTGCATCATAAAATGCTTGCGAGCGCAAATTTGGACGTGCATAAAGGGGTTCTGTGCATGGTTTTCAATTTTTAGCCCACAGTCCTCCAAAAGAATGAGGTTCCGTCGTTAAACTCCAGGCACAGATATCATTTCCTTCAGCACGAATCTTTAGCCCATTAATAAGGCAATTAAAAGTGGATGTAAGAAGTTTTGCTATAACATACATTGGGTCCCTTAATAGCTGGATGGTGGGTGACTTTCAGAGGACAAGCTGAATGCTGCATTTGGAACAATCAAGCCTGGATCATTCATTACACCTTTGCTTCTTTTAGTCTGAAATATTCCCACAACTTTCATACTTTACTATTTACTGACAGACTGCTATCAAAGTTGATCAGTCCTAAGTCTCCACCTGTTTTTACTCACAAAATGTCAATTTAAAAATCTTGGAAGAATTTCACTAGGTTTTGGCCTTAAACACAAATTCAACGCACTTCTATTGAGTTTGAAGATATTTCTTAAGGATACACCACGGAATAAGGCTTGGACGCCATAACCAGTGGGCGCACATCTCTCTTTCATTGTGTACCGCGTCAAAATTGTGCCACTTTAAAAACCGGGGTCAAGATTTTGTTTGTTTGTTTTTTCTGCAATTATTTAAAGCCCACACAAGGATTCGACTCCATGATTCACCGCACCCAAAATTATTAACCTGACAAATTTGTTTTAAGCAACGTGGTTTGATCACATCTGTGGTGCAGATTTAAGATAAATAAGTGCATAAGCACACTCACAAGCATTTAAGCCAAGCATGTCATTCATTAAAATCACTTAAAGATTTTCCTGTTATGCTTTCCTTAAAGGTTCCGTTGACAACCGTTTTAAGTCAGCATACATAATGAGCACATTGTTTTCGTTTCTCCGCAATTTTTCCTGCATTTCAAAACGCTTTCCATAGATAAGGTCACATCAAAATGGGCACGCTTCCCTAAACTACATGCTGCATTGCGTAGAAAATCCCTAATTTAGCTTAAAATAAGTAACTTGACTAATATACAACATTTTAACGAGGTTTTTGCGTAAATGAACTTCAATATCTCTGAAATTTGCGTCAAAACAAGTCTCCGAAGTACTTTTCGCGTGCCTATGAAGGTTTTAGTAGTATAGTAATTACCTTCGTAAATCCAGTCGACTCTTAAATAGTTCGATTAAATGCGGACCAGATTTCACTTTACAGCAACTTGATTTTCCATTTTAATAACCTAATTCAATATGCTCTTAAGAAGAGAGAAACCAAAGCGTACAGTTTAGCAAATGTTTTCACAAGATGGGATCAAACGATTTTAGATTATATAAATGCTGATCATAGTAATATAGCACCATTCGCAGTTTACTCTAATTCTAAGAACTCTACAAGGCAAAAATTAAATTGCAAACACTAAGAGATATCATTATCCTCGTCTTCATTTTTCCAAATGTAAGCGTATTTTGTTCCTTTAACTGAATTAAAATCAACGCAGCTTATTCAACAAGATTTTTCATTCCATAAATTTTACCACAATTGAGACTTCAAGAAAAAACACGCAAAATAATCAGGTTTGTAACAAAATGAAAATTTCTTGTTCGTGTTCTTGCATGGTATAATTTCAATAAATTATTTTTTAATTAATTCTCGCAATAATACTTAACTAATTGAAATAGTCTATCCCACTTCACAAGCATGTAATTTAGAAAAGCATAACATTAACAAACAATATATCTTACCGTCAAAAGAAGTTGTGGCACTGGGAGCTTCGATCATTTCTGCAGTATTTCTTTACCTCATGGAAAAGTCACTTTTGCTTCTTTATTGATCAAGTCGGCTCAAAAAATCCATTTATGCTGAGGCAACCTAATATAATAAAAAGCATTATTTCGATATTAGTTCAAATAGCCGGAAATCTTCCACAAAAATGAGTTATGCTAAAATCACTAGTTAAAA